TCGTGTGTGACTTCTGCTCATTGTGGGCAGTACCAATCGAATTATAAAAATGATTTCTCCACTGGTAATCCTTCTATGTCATCCTCTGATGATGGTTGTGAGTGTTATGCTAAATGAAATTCTGGTTCAGTTGTGGCTGCTCAACCGCAAGCTCATACTTCTTCCATAGCACCTAAGCGTTGGGTGATTGACATAGGAGCCACACATCATGTTGCTTCCGATTTTAGTAAGGTTTTGAATCAATCTGAATTTTATGGAGTAGGTAAACTCTTAGTTGGAAATGGAATGCCTCTTGATGTTACTTTGATTGGTCATTCTCATGTTAATTCTTCTTCTCGTGTGATGTTACTGAATGACTTGTTACATGTTCCACAAATAACCAAGAACTTTCTTTCAGTCTCTAAGCTTGCTAGGGATAATAATGTTTTCCTTGAGTTCCATGCCAATCGATGTTGTGTTCGTGATGAGGCTACTGGCATTGTACTGCTTCAAGGTGAAGAACATGAAGGTTTATATCCATTTGCTATAGATGATAGTTCCTTAGAAGTCAATGTTGCAGAAGTTTCTACTAGCTTAGTGTCTACTTCTTCGGATGTACTCTGGCATAGGCGTCTTGGTCACCCAGTTGTTGATACTTTAGCAAAATTCGCTAGTGAGCTACGTATCAAAGTTCATTCTGATGTAAATAAAGAATGTATGGCTTGTCATATGGGCAAGAGTCATAAATTTCCCTTTATTGAATCAAATACAATGGTTGTCTCTTCTTTTGATCTTGTTTACTCCGATTTATGGGGATCACCAAATGTGGCTTCTAAAGGTTTTCGTTTTTATGTTTCGTTTGTGGATGCTTTTACACGACACACGTGGGTTTATTTTTTGAAACGCAAGGATGAAGTTGTGTTAACATTTCAACTATTTCATAAGCTTATAGCTAATCAATTTGGTCTTACTATCAAGGCTTTACAAACCGACTGTGGCTGTGAATTTCGAAGCTTGTCCCCGGTCTTGGATAAAGAAGGAATTATACACCGGTTGACATGTCCTCATATTTCTAAGCAAAACGGGGTTGTAGAATGCAAGCATTGTCATGTTGTTGAATTAGCACTTGTTTTATTAGCTCAGGCATCTTTACCGATTAAGTACTAGTCCTATACTGTTGCTTCTGCAATGTACTTGATTAGTTGGCTTCCTACTAGGGTGTTACAAGGATTGTCACCATTTGAAAAGATTTTTAACAAAAAACTGAATTATTCCATGATGAGGGTTTTCAAGTGTCAATGTTTTCCTCACTTGCGACTATTTTAGAATCATAAGCTATCTTTTAGTTCTCAAGCTTGTACTTACATGGGTATTAGACCTCAGCACAAAGGGTTCCAATGTTTGGCACCTAATGGTCAAGTTTACGTTTCTCGACGTGTTGTATTTAATGAGAATATTTTTTCGTTTGTATAGACATGGCTTTGTGAACCTTTCAATTCTGGAGTGAACATGGTTCCAACTCCTCAATATTTACGAGTTGTTACTGATTTCAGGAATCCTTGTTTCCAATGTTTACCTGGTAGCTCTCCTAATCCTCAATATGTGTCTGATGATATGGACATTGTTGCTTTAGAAAATATTTCACCTAGGGAATCTGCTGATAGAAACTAGGCATGTACGTGATGATTCTGAGAGTGTTGGTGTTGATTATGTAGCTACTTCAGTAGCTGATGTCAGTGTTCCTCCCTCTCTTACTCATTCTATGATGACACGTAGTCGATGTGGGATCTACAAACCCAAAATGTTTTCAAGAATTCTTGATGATGATGTTCCTACCACAATACATGCAACATTGTAGTCTTCTCATTTGGCTGCAGCTGTTCATGATGAATACAATTCCTTGTAAAAGAATGGAACCTGGTCCCTGGTTCGTCTTCCTAAAGGCAGTACCGCTGTCGACTGCAAATGGCTTTTTCGTGTTAAACGCAATCCTGATGGGTTTGTTCATCGCTACAAAGCATGATTGGTTTCCAAAGGGTTCTCTCAAATCCCAAGGTATGATTTCATGGATACAATTAGCCCATTTATTTGCTTCTCCACGTTCAGCACGGTGTTAGCCATTGCTGTCTCTAATGGTTGGGAGCTTAGGCATGTTGATATAAACAATGTGTTTCTCAATGGAGATTTAAGTGAGGATGTCTACATGCAACAACCTCCTGGGTTTGAACAGTTTGATGAATATGGCAAGCCTCTTGTGTGTAAACTCCAAAAGGCTCTTTATGGTCTACCTCAGGCACCTCGCAATTGCCATGTTAAGCTAAAGGACAACCTATTGTAAATGGGGTTTATAGTCTCTCGGGCATACCCTTCATTTTTTCTCAAGCATATCGACAATGGTTATGTTTAGATATTTGTGTATGTAGATGATATAATCATTACAAGGTTGTCTTCCACTGTTATTCAGGAGGTTGTATCAATGTTGCAAGATCGTTTTTTGATTAAGGATCTAGGGGAATTGAGTTTCTTCCTGGGAATTGAAGTCAAATGTGTTGATGGGTCTATCATCTTGAGTCTGAAGAAATATGTACTTGATAGAGAAGACGAGAATGTTTACAGCTGCAGCTTGTGCCACACCAATGGTTGTATCATCCAAACTTTCTCATAAAGAAGGTAATCTTCTTACTAATGCCAGTGAATACAGAAGTGTTGTTGGCTCTCTTTTGTATGTTTGCCATACTAGGCCCGACATTTCCTTTAGCGTAGGACGAGTTGCCCAATATATACATGCACCACGGGAAGCTCACTTTGTTGCAGTAAAAAAAGATACTTCGATATTTAGCCTCCACTCTAAACTTTGGACTTCTATTCTCTCCTGTTAATACTAGACTGTATATTGTTGGTTTTGTTGATGCAGATTCGGGTGCTAGTGTTGATGACCGACGCTCGATCACTGGGATGGTATGTTTCTTGGCAAATGTCTCGTTGCATGGTGCTCGAAAAAGTAACATACAGTCTCCCGTTCCACGATGGAGGTCGAATATAAGAGTGTAGAAGATGCGGCTGCTGATATAACTTGGGTAAATGCTCTTCTGACCGATCTTGGAATTCAGATGTGTCGATAGCCCTTTGTCTGGTGTGACAACACTAATGATGTGGCCATGAGTGCCAATCCCATTTATCATGCTCAGTCCAAGCATGTTGATCTTGATGTGCCCTTTGTTCATGAGAAGGTGGCTGCTGGGTAATTATGTGTTAGTTATGTTCCTGCCATGCACCAGTTAGCTGATGGATTCACCGAGTCCCTTTCCCGAGCTGCATTTGAAGAGTTTCGATCCAAAGTGTGTGTTCATTCTTTTAATTGAGAGGACAAGAAGAAGTAGGGAGAATGTTAGCGGCATAGTTAGCAGTATGGTTGTTGTAATTGTGTAGTACACGTGGCACTAGTTGTGTGCTTATATGTTAGGAGTTTGTTACTCGGTTGTTAGGGTTTGTTAGAATTAACTGCTGCATGCAGTGTGTATAAATCCGATAAAGCTTTGTATTCAATGCACGTTCAAGATATATCATTTTCTGTAGCTTGTGTTCATTTTCCCTCTTTTCAATAGCCGCCAATTGTTTTGTTATGATTCCGTCGACCGATTTGACTGAGAATTTCCTGTCAACCTACCACTTCCAGCCAAAAGAATCCCCTTGTAATGTTGTATTTGGTGACTTGACAACCGCTATTTTAACAAGTATGGAGTTTGTAAGTAGTGGTTTCAGTTAATTCCATTTCCAGTCATCGTCCTCATTTACCATGTCGGTGATGAACCTTCTTTCCAGTCGTTGTTTTCTTGATCCGGCACATAGTTGATTAAAGGACCTGTCTCATCTAGCCAAGGATCCTTCCAAAACTTGATTGATTTTCAGTCTCCGATGTTCCATATTACGCCCTCACGTACCTCCTCCCATATCCTTCCTAAACCTGGAGCAATTTGTTCTGTTTATGGAGTCTAGGATCGCATTTTCTATTTGTATTTGGCGTGCAACAACTTGACTCACTGCTGGTCTTTCTTCGTTAGTAGTTGGAATGCGACCTTCATTAAAAACGCTTCGTTTTGTTAGGCGAGCTTCTTTATCCCCCAGCCTCATTCCGGTGTTTTTTTTTTTTGCACATTGTGTTCCAATTCACTAGGTTTTTCATCCCTTTATCCGAGGTGTGATTCCAGACAAATCGCCTTATTATTTTTTTAATTTTATAACAGATACCTTTCGGAATTGTTGCTGATTGCCATGAATTCCTAGTTACCTTGCCATGTAAAACCAGTACCCCTAGGTAGTTCCCCAAGTCTTAAACTTCTTTGAACCCGAAGCCCTCTCTAATTTCCGTCCTTAAAGTCCATGGGTACATTATGTGAGAAGAAGATGTTTGTTTTGTCGACACTAACATTTTGTCCTGATGTTGTGCATAATTTTTCCATTACTTTTCAGATAACATTTAATTGTTGGATTGAAGCTTTCGCAAAAAGAATCATATCATATGCGAAGAAAATATGTGAGATTTTTGGGTCTTCCTTTGATACCTTGAATGGTTTCCATTGCCCCTTACTCACTTCCTGGTTTATTGCCTGTGTCAATCTTTCCATGCACATTACAAACTGGTACGGTGACAATGGGTCACCTTGTCTAATGCCTCTCGTTGGTTTGAATGATTCCGTCATTGAACCATTCCAAAGTATTTGCGTGATGACTGAAGACACACAGTGCATAATCATTCTCCTCATCTTGGGCGAGATTCCAATGTCTTGTAGTGTGTTTTCAATGAAAGACCATGCAATGTACTACTTCTTGCGTAATGCTAATGTTATCAGTTATTGATCGGCCTGGGACAAAGCTGGTTTAAGTATGAGATATCCAATTTGGAAGCAGAGGTTTTATTCGATTCACCATAATTTTCGTAATTACCTTGTATAATACTGAACATAAACTTATCGGTTTGAATTGGCTGAAATTTTCTGGCGACCTAACCTTTGGCAACAACACTAATAGTGTGATGTTAAGGTTTTCGTCGATTGAGCACCATTGAACACTTCCTTAACAAACTTGCATACTAAATCCCCCACAATATTCCAGTTACGTTGATAGAATAAAGCATGCATACCATCCACCCCGGGTGCTTTCCATTGGTTCATCTCAAACATTACCCCTTTGATTTCGTCGACCGTTACCGGTGCTACTAACTCTTCTTTTACATTTTGCTCCATTATCAGAAATTCACCGCTGAGCTCGTATCCATGACCGTCCATGTTAGAGTTTGTGAACATGTTTTGGTAGAAATCTGTAGCCATATCCTTCAACGTTTCTTGATCTCCACACCATGTGTCATCCGACAATTTTAATGCTTTGATCGTGTTTGTCCTTCGTCTGCTCATCGTGGATGTATGGAAGTATTTTGTATTTTTGTTGCTCTGAAGTACCCATTTACTTCTCGCCTTTTGAAACCATAGGCTTTCCTCTTGTTCTAATATGACGTCAAGCTCTGTTTGTAGTTGCTTTTCCAGGTCTTCAATAAATAACGAGTGAGCTTTGTTCAAAGCTTTCTCTATTCCCCTAAGCCGAGCCAAGGTTTTCCTCTTTCTGACCCCTATGTGACCAAAGACTTCTTGGTTCCAAGTTGACACCTTATTTTTGAATTCCTCGACGTTCCAACAGACATGTGCTTCCCGGTTCCAGTTTGTGCTGAGAAATTCCTTGAAAATGGGATGATCAAGCCATGCAGCTATGACTCGAAAAGACCAGTTCAAGTTGTTGTATTCACCTTCACAAGTTTATAGCAAAATTGGACAGTGGTCCGAACCTATTCTTTCGAGGTGCAGTACTCTTGCATTTGGGTGGATTTGTAACCATCTTTCATTCACAAGGCATCTATCCAGTTTCTGATAAAGATTCCCTCTCCTCCACGTGTATTCTGAACCCATAGAAATAATGTCTTATAGTCCCAAGTCGAATACAAAGTGTGAGAAATCCTTTCACTCCGGACCCTCGGGGAACACCACCTTTCCTTTCTTCCCATCTTAAAATGGCATTAAAGTCACCACCTAGTGTCCACGCTTCATTGTTTCCGGGATCCAATTGTTTGAGTTTGTCCCAAAGAAGTTTCCTTTGTGATGATTGAGGGCTTGCGTAAACTATAGTGACTGTAATCCAAGTCCTATTATCTTTGTTCCTGCATCAACCATGGATAAATTGGTTCGAGATTTTCAAGATTTCCGATTCCATAGCCTCTCCCCATAAAATCCATATGCCTCCGCTAAAGCCCTGCACTTCAACTCTAAATGTTCATAAATCCCAGCTTTTTGATGACATTATCCGCTGTTCTTTTGCTCACTCGAGTCTCCATTAGTGCTACAACCTGAGGTTTGTTCCAGCTTTGGCAAGCAAATGGACTTCCAAGTAACAAATACTTTAAAAGTAATAAATCATACATAATAGTGGCATATATCCTAAATCATTCTTGAATTCTAAGCCAAACAAGTAATTACAAATGTAAGGGTCTTTTTTATATTTCCCAGTATGCTTTCATAAATCATGTTAAAACACAAAATTAACGCCAGCAAAATACTCAGAATTATTATAAATGATGCCATGCCAAATGTTACTTCAATCTAGATTCTCAGTCAACGAGAATTGTAAAAACATTAATTTTAAGGAATAAATTATAAAATAAAATAGGTTATGTAATTAAATAAAAATTCAAATTAGACAGTTCCACACTGAAATTAAATACATTTTAAGGTCACATACTAAATTTCAAAGCATTTGAGCTAAATTCTACCTTTAATTTGTGTTTCAAAATTTGAAACTAATGTGAACTTACTCTACATAAGAAATTAAGTAAAAAAGATCTAGTAGGCTCTTTCGGTCGATATCAATACCAATGGCTCGATTTTGATACCAAACACCTGACTTTAATACTAGGTCAATCGATTTCGAAACCGATAATCCAGTTTCAATATTGTTCATGTAAAACTGCAAATTTTTAATATTTTTAAGCAGAAAATTGGTCTCCCAATATCACCGATCATCCTATACAAGGTCCTAAAGATTCATCAACATACTAAATACATGGGAAAAAAAAACATGTGCCAAATTTATGATCAATAACATCATATATCAAAATTTAGATCACTGAGTACCAATTCATACAAATTTTCACTTTTCAGGAATCTAACTAATCATTTTCGACTCTAAGTGTAATTTACTTAATCCAACAAGTATAACATATCATATACATGTTTTATAAATTGTCCAAACCAAAAAAATAATATGAACAAGTTATTTGACCTTTTAACTCAAGATTCATACAGTTTTTGCATACAAAACATACACAATAGCATACTAGTAATCAGTTAAGTCTAAAATGTTGCATGATTTTTTGCATCTTTCATACTTCAACATTACCAATACATCATATGTAAACTATTTATGCCTTATTATGAATTGCCTTTGAAGACCACCTTCACTTGCCTTGCTTCTCTTCCCTTGTTTGTAACATCCTAAATACAATTCCTTATATAATGAACCAAAAACAGCACATTGGATCACTTAAACGACCACTACTTTAAAATCTCTCCTTCATTGATCATAATATGAAATTATTTATAAATATAACCCATAAAATACATAGTGACATTTAAAATGTGTTTACAAACCGGAGCTCTGTTTACAAACATTTCTCATATTTTATTTCAAAATATAAATAGGGTTATAAACTAGATACATGTATAAGTCTTATGGGTATACAAGTCCACCATAATATTGTACCATGTAATTGAAATACTTCAGGAACACTAAACATTTTGTGCTAAAATAAAATAAATTGAATCGTTAATTTTTGAAAGTGTCCCAAAATGCAGGGATGCATCGAGGGGTGGAGGCAGTCGCCACCTGAAAATTTTTAAATTAGTATATATTTTAGATATGTTTTGTATTTTTAATTAATAATCTATTTTCGCACCCTAGAATTTTATAAGTTCGTATTCTTCAAAAAAATTAGAAATTCATCCCCTAGCATAAAATTCTGCGTTTTCCCTGAAAAAATGTAATAATTCCATTTAATAAATGGGTAAAAGGCATTAAATTAAATTATCAGTTCTAAAGAGGGTCTAAACATGGAATTATCCATTCAACCAAGGGGCCAAGGACGTTCACATATTAACAGAGTACACCAAAATTCATCCTAAAGACTCCATCAATCTTTAAATCACAAGCGCCCAAATAAACAACTTGTTGGTGTTGATTTTAAAGCATGTGTCCTTGTTGTTGCTTACTGGTCTTGACTCGCTTTCTTTTTTGGATAATTTAGCTTATTTCCCATTGGTTTAGCTGTCTCCATTCTACTTTCTGCAGTAAAAAAAACTGGAAAAGCGACGGGGACAGAAGATAAGAGAAAGGCATTGGAAGATTCCACATGCTATTAACTTACTTGAGAGGCAGGTTGGCTAAGTCAAGAACCATAGCTATGATACGTAATGAAGTTAGTGGTTCCAACTTTCCATCAATCCTAAACTCAAGAAGATAAGAGAAAGACATTGGAAGATTACACAGGCTATTAACTTACACATGTTTCATTTTCACTAAAACTATACAATAGCTGTACTATTAAAACGTATAACAACCGCTAAACCACTACTGACTTCAACAAGACTTTTCAGAAGATGGAATAATTTGATTTCTAATTTGTAAATTTATCCAACAAAACTTAGAATTGTGATTTGGAAATATTAATATTACCCACAATTTTAAAATTTAGTAATATAAAATTATTCTCAATATTACCTATTTCTTTTACAATAATATATTTTTATCTCATTTTTAGTGACTTTAATTCTTTTTCTTAATATAAATAAGTAAAACCTAATAAATCGAGCTCTCTAATTCTTTGATATAGTATCTCAAGATATCAAACACTCTATTAATATTTTATTTTAAAAAAAATATTCATTTTAAATGATATATGGTGTGATAATTAAACACTAATAATACGAACATGTCAAGCAAAAAAATTTCTTTAGACCGATTTATTACTCATATATCAAACCAAATAATTAGCACATGCTTATTACCAAAGTTGCACATGTAATTATGTCAACTGTTTTTTTTTTACTCAGCAAATTTGATTTTATTCATTAATCGTAATAAACGCTTAACTCCGAAAGGTGAGCCTCGTTAAAAACCTCTCTAATCCTAGTTAGAGGATAGAGTACACCACCTTCAAGGCACTTAACAATTACAACAAAGCAAGATCAGCAAAACAATACAGCCCCAAACTTGACAAAAAACCAAAGCCATATCTAAGCTAGAAGAACGATAATAACACCTTTAATTCACTACAATACTGCAATGAGCTCAATTTTGCTACTTCAAAAGCTTCACACCCTACTTGGTTTAGCCACATACTGATGAATTTGAAAAACCTCGGTTCCCAATCCATCATCTCCTTTGTGTAGGTGATCCGAGATCTATCTAGGTAGCTCCCATATGATAACAATGTGCACTTATCAATACCAAACCTTCCTCCGCAAGCATTCAGACAAATCAGACCATACCAAATCAAAATCCCCCTGTTAATGGCAATATGTTGGGAATATTGAGGCTCTATGTTCAATCGAAAATGTGCCAAAAGAGGGTGAATTGAACTTTTGAAAATTTTGGGTGTGGAATGAATAGAGATAAAAAAATTTGCACAAAGATTTAGAGTAATTCGACTTTATCAACCATAGTCTACATCCACTACCTTAGCTCCACACAAAGGATTTCTAACAAATTCACTAATTTGTTCTTTTTTTCAGGCTCAAGAGTAACCTTTACAAATGTCTATCTTTTCAAAGGCTAAGATAGAACCACTCCCCTTTTACAAAGGATAAAAATTGTAAACAACAAAACCCCACAAGATAGATATTTACAAGAATTAAAGCTCACAAAGAATAAATAGAAAGATTTGCAATGAACTCAAACCACTATGTCTAAAAGAAAATAAAAAATAAAGATTGAAAATGTTTTTCTCTTGATCTTTAAGCTTGGATAGGTGTTGTAACATTCTTCAAGTGTTTTTTACTTGTTTTTATATGTTGGAATTAGCTGCAAAATAAAACTGCCAAAGACATGACGTGTCAGTACTCAAGTTCGAAGTATTAGTATTTCCTTTGAAAAACTAGTCCTTAATGACCATTGGGCTTGACCAGTATCGATACTATGGTTTTTTGGCAAAACTCCCCTTTGTAAAACATTTCTTGAAAAAGAGAATATTTGAAAATATTTTAAGCTCTCCTTTTTCATTGAGAAATTGAATTTTTCAAACTTATACTTCTCCCCTTTTTGTTAAATCAAAAATAATTCAAACTTTATTGGTTCAAAATAACAATGGTGTGTAAAAAAATTAACATAAAATCATTTGAAAAATCAAAGCTCCCCCTCAATAAAAGCATTCCATGTAAAATTTTGACACAAAAATTTAACACTTAAAAGATATTGAATTTCAACCAAGAGATAAACAAGTTAATAGAATATGAAATTCAATAAATTTAAGACAGTCATTTATATGCAATAATTAGAAATGAAGCATTAAAACTCACATTCATAAAGCACTACAAAAATATCATGCATTCGATATAAATATCAATTGTTAGAGAGATATCATTTGCAAGAAAGAGCATAATCATAAACATTTAAAATCATTTACATTTGCATATCAAGAGTGTAAGAATTAAGTACACATATACAAATAGGTAAAAAAAAAAGAATTTAATTAAAATATTAAGATTTGGGAATTTAAACTCAAATAATGAAAATCACCTTGAGGTCAAGATAAAAAAAATCATTTAAAATATAAAAACATAACTTGACAAAACATGGTGAACTAAAAATTGATAAAAACATTTAACTTAAAAAAATGTTTGTCATAACACATTTCAACATACATGAGATAACAAACAACATGTAATCATTCATGTTCTATACTCATGCATGCATAAAAAATCAATAGGCAACCAACATACAAGATCAATCAACTTTAAGTTTAGAGGTTACCCATCATTCTTTTCTGTGACTAGAGCATTCAAATGTCTTGACATTTCACTCCATTGCTCAAACACACCTACAAGAAACATTCATTTGGATTTTGGTATTCAAATTGTTTTGAGTCCTTAAGGGTTTGTACCAATGTCTCTAGTTCCCTTAGGAACTCATATTTGTCTAATTTTAAAATATTTTCTAATTTTAACAGGACAAATATATAGACTATGACCATTATAATGGTAATGTGAGCATTTTGCCATTATTAAGCTAGATGAATTGTTTAAAAGGATTTCTTTTTCTTTTGTTAAGCATTCAAGCTTAACTTTTAAATCAAGATTTAATTTTTTAAATTCATCAATTTTAGTTTTTGAAAACTCTAAATCTTTTCTTAAAATCATTTTATTTTTCAAAATTCATTTTTGTTTTCAAAAGAATTCATTTTCACTTTTAAATTTAGAGATCAATTTCTTGCATTTAGAGTTCATGGTCTCAAACTCCAAAAAAGAAATCATCATAGGCATCTTGTAATTGATCATTAAAAGAATATAAATTAAATTCATTTGAGGTAGAGGATACCTTTGAATCTTCTTGAATGACCATGAGGCAAAGATTGGCTACTTCATCTTGATCATTGGAGTTGTCCTCATCACTCCAAGTAGCCACAAATGCCTTCTTTTTTCTAGATCCATTCTTCTTTAGGAGGGGAATATCATACTTGACATGTCTCATTCTGTGACATTCGAAGCATATGGGGGGATCATTCTTTTTTTTATTCATGCTTTACATCTTTTTCTTTTGATGTCATGAATCACTTGAATCTTTTGAATAGCTTGGTCTACTTGTTCTTCATCTACCTATTCTCTTGAGTCTTATTTACTCTCATTGGTGGACTTGAACGCAATGTCTACCTCATTCTTCTTCTTGTCATTCTTTTTTTCTTCTTTTTGTTTCCTTTGGAGTCTCATCTCATGAGTGAGAAATGATTCAATGAGTTAATCAAGAGTAAGCATCTCCAAATCCTTGACTTCTTCAATGGCATTTCTCTTTCCTTCCCATGACATTGGTAAGGAGAAGAATATCTTTCTCACTACTTCTTTATTGAGATATTCCTTTCCAAAAATCTTAAGCCCATTGATGATGAGTGTGAATCGATTGAACATAGTCTTTATGTCTTAATTGGGCATCATCTTGAAGTTATCGTAGTTGAGAGTGAGAATGCCAACTTTGGAATTTTTCATTTCTCTTGTCTCTTCATGAGTCACTACTAACTTGTCTCAAATCTCCTTAGCATTATAGTATGAAGACATTTTACTATACTCGTCGAGGACAAGTGCACAAAAGAGGATGTGCATGGCCTTGGCATTGAATTGGGCTAGCTTTCTATGTTCACTTATCCATTCCGACCTATTCCTTGGAGGGGTGGGAGAATCATCGGTGATGAAATCCCAAATTGAAAGGTCTGTAGCTTGAACGAACAACACTATCCTATTCTTCCAATAAGAATAGTTGGCACCATTGAAGTATGGTGCCTTATGATGGAGTGGGAATCCTCAAGGTAGTATGAGCTAGAAGTTGATGTCATCTTCTTAGTTGAATAGGGAAATGGTAGAGCGCTTCTAGGATCTTCACAAGGTTATTGACTGTCGATTATGACCAACTTTGACACAAATTGTTGGAAATATTGATGCTATATGATCAATCAAAAATGTGCCAAAATGGGGTTAATTGGCCTTTTAAAAATTTTAGGTGTGGAAGGAATAAAGATGGGAAAATTTGCACAAAGATTTAGAGTGGTTCAACTTTATCGACCAAAATCTACATCAATTACCTTAGCTCCACATAAAGGATTTCTAACAAATTCACTAATTTGTTCTTTCTTTTTCTAGGCTCAAGAGTAACTTTTACAAATCTGTATCTTGTCAAAGACTAAGATATAACCATTTTCCTTTTACAAATGATAAAAGATGTAAACAAGAAAATCTCACAAGGTAGATGATTACAAGAATTAAAGCTCACAACGAATGAATAGAAAGATTTGCAATGACCTTAAAATACTATGTAAAATAGAAAATAGAAAATAAAGATTGAAAAGACTTTTCTCTTGATCTTAAAATATCCTGAGATTAAAAAGAATTAACCCAAATATATATATGCCAATAACAAAAACCAAAACATGAATGGATTTATCGCAACATAACCATAAATTAATAGCATAAGTATCCATAATATATGAGTTTCGCACATGAGATCATCACAACATAAACCAAAATAGGATTAATAAACTAATAATTTCAATCACAAATTTTAGAATATGAATTTTGATCAAACTCTAAGTAGATTCTTCCCTCGGTGTGTGACCCCGTAAGAGCAAGAGTAAGAGAGGTTGATTCTAGGATGAGCTAGAAAGGTATTTGGGTTTCTTGAAGGCTATGGAAACACACCTTAACTCTTCTCTACTACTTGTATGTCATTTACATTTGATTTGCTTGCTTGTATGGGGTGGTGAAGCATAGTAGGGGCTTGGGTGCATGTGGATTCGATGTGATCGATTTGAATATTAGAAATGCATAAAAATGATGTATTATGAACCCTAATGACTTGCATAAACTTTGATAATCACCTTATTATAAGTGCTTAATTTAGTTAATATTTTACTTTTAAATTACTCCTTAATCATTGGTTTTTGTGGCTTAATTGTTCGTTTTCATTCATTTTCTATAGAGGACGTCAGATTCTGGAAATTGCACTAAAAGGAGAAAATTATGCAGTTTTTTTTTATTTTTGGAATCGAGGCTGGATTAGTGGGAATGAACTCGGACATGAAACATCCGACGAGGCGATGACGTCAGCACCTTCTAGAAGATCCAGTCAGCATTTCTAGAAGAATGAATGAGTTGGCCGCACGTTTCTTGCATACGGATTTGAATCAAACTCAAGTTTATGATAATATTTTAAACATTATATTTTATCTTTGTATTTTAGTTTAAATTGTTTTTAGTATTTCAATTAGGATTTAGGATATTATTTTAAATAGTATTTTAGTTTATCTTTGTTTTATGTATTTTAGTTAAATAGTTTTAAGTGTTTTTATTAGGATAAAATATATTATTTTAGGAATTATCTTTAGCTTATTTTTAGGAATTTGAAGGCTATAAATACCCTCTAAGGGTGAGCATAGAAACATATCTCTCTCATCTGAGAATAAAATCTTCTTTTTCTCTCTAGATTTCTCTCTATTTTTCACATACTTCCTTTATTTCCCTTTAAAATTTTGTTTTCAAATATGATAAGTATGACTTTGGTCATGCTTAGCTAATTTTCTTTTAAGCCGAAGGCTAAAGCAAAGTCTCAATTCCAACGTGAGAATTATACGACACTTAAATCGCTTCAGATTTTTCTCTTTGTTTTTTGGGCTTACTTTTCAAATCAAAATGATTTTCAACATTGGTCTGGATATTGTTATGGTTAACATTGGAAGAAGGATTGGCTTATTGAAGCACATTCAACTTCCTAAGAACACATTTAGAAAAATTGTTTGCTAAGAGGAAACGGAGATCGAAACCAGTTATTGTTGAAACAACATAATCCGAGTCGGCAGCGAAGAATTGTCCTTGTAAGCCGACGTGAATCTTGAAGTAAAGATCTGTTTCGATGATCCGAGGAATTTGAGGCAAAGCTGAAGTCTGAGGCTACTTTCTCTATAAGTTTCTCTTTATCTCAATCTCTTTAATTTATTTATTTAATTATTTTCTTTTATTTAATTCTTATCTTTTATTTTAAAAACAACTTTTAGAAAACCCCTTTTTTATTTTTACTACTATTATTTATTATTTTTTCCTCTTTTATAATTATTTATTTTATTTTAATATACCTTTTCAACTTTACTTGGAATTCTATCTTCCTCTAAAATCAAGAAACAATTTTACTAAATCACAAAAACCAGAGTCCCTGTGGATCGACCCTGCTTCTCTATACTACCTTTTTCTTTCTATTTATTAAGAAGCTAGGAATTATTTTGATAACAAAACAACAGTTATCAAATTGGCGCTGTTGCCAGGGATTAACAGCAAATACTGATTTATTTTTCTAGTTTTTGATTTATGACCATAAGAAACCAGGTGAATTAGCAGATCTAGATCCGGAGATCGAAGCACGAGCACGAAGAATCCACTCATAAACACTTTGAGAAAAGAGAAAAAGATAAGAAGAACAAGAAAAGAGATCAGAAACAGAATAAGATCCAGAGATAGACTCTGAAGCAGACGCATACAACATCCCGTTGGTAGAAGAAGAACAAACGATCCGAGAGCTAGCCACAGCTACTGTCACTCAGACGCCATTATGCATCAATTTTCCTAGTGGCCGGACTCCGTTTAAATTAAAGAAGAGACTCATTCATCTTCTATCCACTTTCCACAGCTTTCCCACTGAATATCTGCACAAACACTTGTTGGAATTCCACATGGTTTGCACTAGCATGAAACCACAGGGAGTTACCGATGATCAAATTAAATTGAGAGTTTTCCCTTTCTCTTTAGCCGATTTGGCTAAAGATTGGTTATTTTATTTACCTCCAGATTCAGTTAATTCATGGGCTGACAAGAATCAAATTTTTCTCGACAGGTTCTTTCCAGCGGCTAAAGAAAGCGAGTTACGAATGAGCATTCTTTCCATTCAACAAAAGACCGAAGAAAGTCTTTATGACTATTAGGAATGATTTAAAAAACTTTGCGCACGTTGTCTGTAACACGGATTAAGTGAGCAAACGTTACTTCAATACTTTTATGAAGGCCTTTTACCAATGAAGGTGAAAATGATGGATGCCGCCAGTGGAGGAGCATTAGTCAACATGACCCCAACAACAGCAAGGGAATTGATTCCAACCATGGCAGCCAACTCTCAACAGTTTTCAAGTGAACCTAGCCGACGGGTTCATGAGATAAGTACATTTTCCCTTGAAAATAAGTTAGATAAATTAACTGAAGTAGTTAATTCACTTGTTGCAGGAAAATCTGGAGCAACAAGAGCATGTGGGATATGCACAAAGCTAGACCATCCGACAGATTGCTACCCGCTTATACAAGAAGGAGGCAATGCAGAAATCAATGTAACAGGGAATTTTCCAGGTCCTCCACAAAGACAATATAACCATACATCAATACTTATAATCCAGGATGGCGAGACCACCCAAACTTCAGCTATACGGCAAATCAAAGACCAACTTATCAACCAAGACCTCCTCCTTAACAGCAAACGCAAAAACCATCATTGGAGGAACTCATAGAAAAGTTAGAAATTTCACAAGAAAAGTTCATTGCATCCCAGGAAAAATTCCAAAGCCGAACCGAGACGCATCTTCAAGAGTTATATAATCAAGTAAGTCGACTAGCTCAAACTGTGGGAAAATTTGAATCACAAGGAGAACTACCTTCTCAAACAGAGTTAAATCCGAGAGAGAATGTTAGTGCCATCATACTTCGAAGTGGAACAGTTATCTCACCCGAAGTTCCAGCAGAAAAAGCCGCACATCAGAAAGAGCAAGAGGACACGCCACCTCCATAAATACAAGGTACGTCTGACTCATATCCTTCTCTGTCTTCTCATGAAATCACGCCACCACCATTCCCATCAAGGTTGATGAAGCGTGATAAAAGAACTGAAGAAATGGAGATCTTAGAGGTGTTCCAAAAAGTTCAAGTCAACATACCTCTTCTTGAAGTAATTCGACAAGTACCAAGGTATGCTCGATTTTTAAAAGAACATTGCACTACAAAGAGGAAATTAATGGGGCACGAAAAGGTAAATTTGGGAGAATATATATATGCAATTTTTCAATGAAAGCTCCCACCAAAGATGAAGGATCAAGGTATGTTCGCTATACCTTACAAAATAGGTGATTTTAAAATTAAATGTGCAATCTGTGACTTAGGAGCTTCAATAAATGTTATGTCATTTTCTATTTATAAAATGATTACTAACGAGCCTTTGAAGGAAACATGAATAACCATATAGTTGGTTGATCGATCTATGATCTATCCAGTAGGAATAATGGAAAATGTCTTGGTAAAGTCGATGCATTATTTTTTCCTGCAGATTTCTATGTCATTGACATGGAACATGATAGGTCGGATTCTTATTCCGAGGTACTCTTAGGTCGACCCTTCCTAAGCACATCACGTACAAAGATTGATATTAGAAGTGGTATATTAACAATGGAATTTAATGGTGAGATCGTTGAATTTGATGTTTACAAAGCAATGAAATGCCCTGATCATGTTGAAAGAATTAATTATGCTGATGTTATAGATCATTTAATTGATGAATATATTGAATCTAATTTTTCTTATGATCTTTTTAAGGATCCTGAATGTAATACCCCAAATAATAGGTCAGTGATTATTTGAAAGGAATTCAAAATTTAAAGGAATAAATTGAGTAATTGGAAAGTATAAGAAATGATTTAAATAAGACCAATTTGTAAAAGATAGTTTATTGAAAGGGTATTTTGGTCTTTTAGGTGAAATGAATTTAAAACCTATTTAAATTAGGGATTTAAGAAAAAAAAGGAAAGGGAAAAGCTTATTTTCTCTTCTTCTTCTTCTTCCCGTGCAAGGACCACTCTCCATATCCCAAAGGTAAACTTCAATTTAATCAGTTTTCCTTTCGATTATGGGTTGTTTTTACAACCTTAAGTGATATGTAAGCTAAAGGGAGGGGTAAATAGGATTAAAACAAAGGTATGGATGAAATATTAGAGATTTAAGAAATTCGGTTTTGAAATGATGTTTTAATATATGAGTGTTTATGGATGTTTATTGGTAGATTTGACTTGTCAAAGTAGTAAATAAGAGATTAGAAGCATTGGATGAGTTTAAAAACAAGTTAGAAAATGTGATGTGATTCTTAGAATCAAATGATATTGAAGAATGCTAGATGTTTTAAGTAACTAAATGAAGGAAAGTTAGTATGGATAGCTAAAGAAAAGTTTGATAGTATTGCATGGTGTAAGTGTAACAAAATTTGACCCCATTTAGGTAAAAATCGGGGTAAAAACTGGAAAAATCTGGGCAAGGGTATCAGTACTGATAGAACAATACCAATACTATAGGCTAAAATGGGATGAATTAGCCGAGTAGTATCGATACTGATTCTATCAGTATCGATACTAACGAGGTAGTATCGATACCATGGTAAGGGTATCGATACCTGGAAACATCGAATCTAAAATTGGTATCTATACCGAAAGGGGGTATCGGTACCATAGTATGGTAGTATCGATACCATGGTAAGAGTATCGATACCATACAACATCGAAGCTAAAATTGGTATGGATACCAGAGGGGGTATCAGTACCATAGTATAGAAGTATTTTTACTAGGGTAGTAGTATCGATACTATTGAGCTTGGAAAGGCCAATTAGGTTGAAATTGTTATAGAGATAGAGATAATGATATTTTGAATATTCTTAAAGTACAAGGTTAAGGAGTATACTAACATTGGTATGTTATGTGTACTTAATGGATAATTGTGTAGAACAGAATCAAGCTCCTGAATCTAGCAAGAAAAGGGAGAAATGTAAAGGGGTTGATTAGTTAGAAGTCTCTACACTTTATTAGCAGGGATTACAAGGTGAGTACATTTATTGTATGCAATTTAGACGAAAATGATTATAAATTATTCAAGATGTAATATTTAAATATTAATGTATGTTATACTGTAATTACTATGTTTTATTGAATATATGGGATTGATATTGTGAATGAAAATAATAATGCATATGGGTGCATTATCAACAGAAAAGTATGCTATAGTTGAAATGTATATGGGTACATTATCAACAGAAAAGTATCCTATAGTTGAAATGTATATGGGTACATTATCAAAAGAAAAGTATGCTATAGTTGAAATGTATATGGGTACATTATCAACAGAAAAGTATGTTATAGTTAAAATGTATATGGGTACATTATCAACAGAAAAGTATGCTATAGTTGAAATGTATATGGGTACATTATCAACAGAAAAGTATGTCATAGCTGAAATGCATATGGGTGCATTATTGGCATAAAAGAATAATGCATATGAGTGCATTATTGGTATGAAAGGATGTCATAAATGAAATACATGAAAGGATGTAATTATTGATATATGTATGATGATTACTTAATGGGCACTATGTATGTAAATACACGAAATTAATCATAAGTTGGTGAACTACCGTATAGACACCAAGTGTGCATCATACTAAATGAACATGAATAGAAAGTGGGTAAATTAATATGTTAGCACTGAGGGTCCAAATGTATAAGGTTTATAATAAATTAAAAGAGTTAATCAATATTATAATTTATATGCTATACTTATGTTCATAAGTTTATGAATTTCGGTATTGGTAATGTGTGTGTGCTACTCACGTAATTAATAAGTTTGTGAATTTATTGTAATTGGCACTACGTGTGCAAACTGTAGAGTTTATAATGAGTGGAAGGAGTTAATTGATATTATATACAATTATTATAGTAGAAACTATCTCCAAAGTAAAAGATTAATGGCCTAACTGTGCAATTGGCAGAAAGGTGTCAATTATGCCAGTTAATGAATAGTTAAACACCGTTGAGTAAAAGATGAAAGGTCAAACACTGTTGAGTAAAAGAATAATGGACTAGCGGTATATTTGAAAGAAAAGTGTCAAATATGCACTTTAAATGGAAAGCTAAATACCTTTGGGTAAAAGAATAAAGGAATTATAATGTATTATGATATGAATGGTATATAAGTGATATGAAGAGATGATATATATATATATATATATATATATATATATATATATATATATATATATATGTACAACAATGCATAATTGTATGAATGGATGTTATAAAGGAAAACGTAAACATAATATAAAATGCATGAAAGGATATCATAAATGAAAGGTATAATATTGCATAAAAGGCATGTAAGGATGACATAATTGAAATACATATAGGTGCATTATAATCATGAATGGATGTTGCCAATGAAAATAAAGAATAATGACTAAAGAGATAAATGGAAAAGAATAATATAAAGGAAGATAGGTATGCTAGGCATACGAAAAAGAATTAAGAAAATTGTGAATGGAATATGGTTTAAATGAGGAGGAGCATGGGATACTTAAAGAATATACGATTTAGTACGAAATAAATAAATGTGACATATTTATGTATATTCAAAGGTTACTTTACAATATTATGTCTCACTAATTAATTACTTAACGTGTGTTTATTTCACGCGTA